TTATTATTTATTTGAAACGACGCATAAGGCAGTCGCGGGAAATAACGATACATAAGCAACATGACAACAATCTCTTCTTATAGATAACCTAGTTATAACAAATTTTCCTAGTTACAACAAATTTTTTAGCTAGGCGTTTGAAAAGCACAAAAGTGGAACAAAGCAAGTCAAAATCATGTGTTTCGCTCTTGCTGATTTGTTACATAGAATTATCAGTGTCAAACATAGCATTATTTGATTTCAATTTTAAACGGTGCGGAAATCAGAAAAGTCTCGTTCTGTGTTTCAAAGTGCCCTCAGATGGAGATCAACAATATGTCCTCCTTCTGTATGTTGCAGTAGGGGAAAGGAGGACCATTGGGTTCTACCGCGATTATCTCTCATTTTTATGAAGTCTATTAGCCCTCTAGATTGGCTGGTAGGGCGAGGAATAGATATTTTCTTTTAGTATTTCAATTTTTGTTTCTTAAATAACGCTTCACTTTTATATGCTTAGTTATCCTTTTCTTTTATTTTCCTGCTTTTTGTATAATGTAAGGCTAGCTTCGATTTTCATCAAAATAAATGATTTCTTGTACTTGACATTTGGAGAATGATATCGCTTTTAGCATTTCAAAGCTGGAGACATATCCGTTCCCGCTGCGGAATACAAGGCTGTGGATTCTCATGTGACTGCCTTGCCCCCTCGAAAACGCCCTGAGCAACTGATAAAGTTTGTCGAAAAAACTAAGTCCGACTTTGATCGAATGGTGGAGTATGACTGTGACGAAGAGGTATGTTACCTAGCTCCTCAATCTTTAGCACTTCTCTGTACTCATTTATGCCGCTTGTGGACTAAAATCTTTAAAGCTTTCTTTTCTAACCTCTTTAGCTGGACTTTTTCCTTTATTCAATTCTTCCAGGATTACCTTTGGATAAAAAATATAAACAAGGAGCGGAAGAAAAATAAAGCCAGTATTTTGTTGCCCGAGCAAATGGAGCAGGTGATGGACAGACTAGAGAAAGAGAGTCACTTTGAGGTCTGTACTGAGCATGTTTTTTTTTATGTTAGCTGTTAATATTCACTTTCTGCTTCCCGCGGGGTACTCCACAAGATGCCCGTCGCGCGGAGAGAAGGTAGAGGCGCAGACGGGTCGACGGACGAGTCGCAGCGCGTACTGTGCGATTTGGGGCGTGCTGTAGTACATTCTATTTAACTTAACCATAAGTTGCTAAAGTACGCACTGCGACTCTCCTGGCCCGTCTATCTCTGTCGTGCGAAGGACCTTCTGTCGAGCACCCGCTTCCTGTGTAGCGCGGACAGTTATGAAAGAATTGCGGAGGTCATAGAGTTCGGTTTGCTACTTCATTTCTTCTTATTGCCCGGTCACAGTTTGCAGTCTGAGAGTGGAGTAGCACGTATTGTTCATGCGATTGTACGGTCGCATATTCACACTCACCTCAGACTCTAACTGCAAGCTATGTACCTGACCCTTAGTTCCCGGGTCAATCGTTGAGGTGGCTACGTCGCCGCGCCAGCTGCCGCAGCCCGCGATACGACGTCGGCCGTGGCTACTATTTAGGGTTCTAGCATTAGGGAATGTTGGATTAGATAAATTTTCCAGTCGTGAAACACGGTATATGATGACCTGCCCCTTAAAATAAAGGTTCCCTGTCCCTACCATTATTTACAAACTTATTCTGTCATACAAATGTTATTGCCTTCCTCACCGTTCCACTGCGTTCTAGAACGTAATATTTTCCGATTGAGCCAGATTATCGCTCTCTGATAACAGTTCAGGCAGTTGATTAATAAGAAGTCAAATTATGTTCAAAAGGACAACCTTTACATGGCACAAGCTCCGTACAGTAGGCTTAAATAACTGCAGAGACCTTAAGGTGACTCTTGTTGGCTCACTGATGTCTGGAACTTTAGTCTTATCAGTTCTCTAACCCCACCAGCTTCTTATGAACAATGACCGTTAAGCCAAGGTCCATACGAAAATCGCCGCACCAATTGCCGCGCGCGACGCTGCCCGTCGGCGTGAGCGGCGTGACCTCATTAGCTGACGATTGAATTGACCGTCTCCCTTAGTTCCCTGAGGTATTTTAACGGGCGTATGTCACGCTTCCATTACTAGAGCTTTTCAAGTAATTTATCTCTCTATATCTTTACCTTCTCTCGCGACGGTAGTTTTCCGAGCTTGGCCTCGTGATGTCGAAATCATGCGTTGGCAGGATAACTCATACGCGTACATGTATTCATTCATGTAGCATATAAATATACCGCAGAAATCTTCTTCTTCTTCTCCCCGCGTTAGTCCCGCGCAGTCGCAGGTTCCGCTATAAATACACGCAGAAATATTATCAGAAAATCTACCAAAGGTATAGTCGGCCATCTTGTAATGAATATTTTGCGCATGGA